ATTTCTTTATCTCTCAGTCATTGCTCATCGAGTAATATTAAATGTAATTCGTCAAATATAAAAATGTTTTTAAAAGAACAAACACAAAAATACGTGCTTGTCGATAATCACAAAGTGAATCATTCAAAACCATCTCATATAGACTTGAGTTTTGTTTTTGTAAAAAATGATTTTTCATAAAAGGAATGCATCATTAAAAATAAAGTATCTGGTAAATAAAAAATTTATTCGGGTTACACGGGGACGGGTCGGGGCCCGTCGCGAAAATGGCGGGTCGGGCGGGCTGGTCCAAGAAGCTGCCTGTGCGGGGTACGGGCGGAGCGAGTATAGATTTGCCGGGGCACAGGCGGAGCGGGGATTCTCAAAAAGAATAACCACGGGGTTCGGACGGGACGGGTTTGTGAATTTTACGGGGCGGGCCCCGCGGGGGATGGAAAATCAATGCCCCGCACATCTCTGGTCGGAACTCCGATAGTGAAATATAGTAGCTCATATTCCTATTTCACAATTTTTTTGTGTGAGATATGGTCTATTAAGCTAATTTTTTGTATGGAATAATGTACTTAAGCTTCTTTCGACGACGAGTTCAACGAAATCTCAGATTGAGTATCTAGGTAAGGGATTGAAACACATAAGGAATAGTTCACAAGTGTTTTCACTTTTGAATTGCTCATGTAATAAATATAGGCAGTTTTGAAACTTAGCCAAACGTAGAATCCGGTAAAATTTAAATGACACTACATGATCGTATAATTACTGGAAGAGAACGATGCATAGCAGCAGTTAGTCGCGAGTGGCGCCCCACTGGGGTGCCGACGAGCGCCTTACTGCTGTCCTAAGAAATCTCTTGAATAGAACGCTTCAGAAACTTCCAATCCATTGGAAGAATCTCTACCATTTAGATCTTACTAGTTTTCATGTGAGGGAGAACTGGCAAGAGGGCTAATAAGTATATTTGAGTGAAGTTGTGAGAACAGGTGTATAGAACGTCTTCAGTATCGGAATCGAACCTTTCCGAAAAAACGTCAATAAAACAATTTACATCGAATCATTAAAAGTAGATTTGAATGGAATGAATTAAATGATCTTTTGTCTTCATGGATACGTCGTCTGTCTATTAACTTGTCAAATTTTTTTCTCGGCTATTTGAAATTCATTGTTTAATCCCACAAAGATTCAGAGTTGAAGCCTCATTCAAGTTGCATATACCGAATATTAGTTTGAACAAATATACTTTTTAGTCTGATAGCTCTGCTGAATACGCATTTTCGTAGCGGGTACCGGCCAGTGATATTACCAGCCTATGTGTTGATGATTATACACATTATTAGTATAGTTTGCGAAAAGTGTAGGGCATCTTTACTGCAGTCACACTGATATATTTTGTGTGTTGATTTTTTCTACAAATCGAATATACTATTTTTTTTTCGTGGTCTGAGGATATTGCTGTGTCAGTGTGAGTCGCGCGGATTTCTTTTGAGTGTTACTGATAGAGTAACAGATTAAATGAACGAATGGTATAGCCGGCAGTATCACAATGATACCAACCGCACTCTACACGCCGACACAGATGTGCACATTAATGTTGACACCAGCACAAAGCCATGTGCAAACGCCAGATGCTACCTTTTACAAAACGTCTGCAGCAATAAACAACTACCGATGCAGTGAAATATTCAGTCGAGGGTTAAGCGAGTCACACAGACGAGCGTTACTTGTTTTTTCGACCACCCAGCCAAAATTTACAACGCGAAAATGGTATTAAAATGGTCGGAAATTTACATCATTATAATGGTGAAAAACTGTCACAAATAACCCTGAAAAACGCCCACCCTATAATGCATTAAAATGATTACTTTGATGAACATAAAATGATTCTACATTTACAATAAAAATATGTACGAAAAAATCATTTATTCGCACCATTTAAAACAATTTTTTATAATTTTTTTGGAAACGTAATAATTGTGCGATCTTGCACAAAAATTGCTTTGTTGATTTTCCCGTAAACCACTTCCTCGAAACATAAATCGTTGATCAATATCTTTTCAAAATGTGATTTCCAACACATTACATGAGGTTCTGTTGAAAGTTTGTAGTCATAGTTGAGATATCTGTCTCGTCTTATACTCTAGTTCAATTCCATTCGTCTTTATCTTCTAGAGATATTACAACTTTACTAGATACATGTATTGAATTATTAGAAAGTTCCATATCTTTAATAAAATTCAGATCACGTTACGAGGTAGATTGAATTTTTCTTTTATTTTAAAGAGACTTGAGCTGATTGACTCCTGTAGTTTTTTCAAAATAGACCTCAGGTAAAAGGTAATCATGTTTCGACTATCAAAACTCGTTGTTTTTACATAGAACGTTTCAGTTTTATCAAGTATGTTTTGACTGTATACATGTCTGAAAGACACAACAAAAGAGGGTATAAAAGAGAGTCACTCAACTTCAGTCTCTTTAAAATAAAAGAAAAATTCAATCTACCTCGTAAGGTGATCTGAATTTTATTAAAGATATGTAACTTTCTAATAATTCAATACATGTATCTGGTAAAGTTGTAATATCTCTAGAAGATAAAGACGAATGGAATTGAACTAGAGTATAAGACGAGACCGATATCTCAACTATGACTACAAACTTCCAACAGAATCTCATGTAATGTGTTGGAAGTCACATTTTGAAAAGATATTGATCAACGATTTATGTTTCGAGGAAACGATTTATTTGTTTTATACAATCTTATTTTAAGTGCCTTCACATAAGTATAGTAGCGTCTCTTTTTTGGCCACATGACGAGCAATGAATACACACATTACTCCTCCACAGGGTTTACTTTTGACTGATTGTTTCACAATTCTGATTAACATCCGCTCGTCAAGCTAAATTAAAAATGTCACTTTTTCACTTCGTAGATCTTTGTATTTTGAATGAAATTACATGACTGAAGAAAATAAGACAAAGTAGATTGAAATTTTAGGTTTGATATAAAAAAACTGCTATGTTACTTCTATCTCACTATTGCTGAAGGAAAGTAGTAGAAATACGATCGTGATCTGTATAAAATGAGAAATAAAAATTAAAAGTTAGATTTATCTTTCACCAACTATCACAAAAACAGATTTCACTAATCAGCACTTTGATGAAAAAAGATTGATTTCAGATATACAGTCATCAAAATTTATATGCTCAAAGTGACTGTAGGATTCTTCAGGAATACGATGTAAAATGTACTGTCTCCAAAGAAAGCTTCAAGTTTATTACAAATAGAGCTCACACAGATGATTACTAATTGCTCAAAAATCAATTATATTTCTAAATATTCATTAGCTATTCACATATGATAGTTCGTCCTATTTAATCAGAAAAGAAGTAGGAAATAACAATATAACACTCTAGTCCCATCAGTTACTTTCATTATCACACGTTTCTGATCGAAATGTCTAATTCAATGTGAATATAAAATGTTTCTTGTAAAAAGCCTATACAACTTTTTGACTTTTTTTCGTTAGATATTGGTTCTGTTTAATATTCTGAAGCTCGCAGTCTACGGATACTACTAAGTCTTTTGTATTTTCATTAATCTTATTTCAAAGAAAGCTCAGTCACTCTCCTTAGTATCAAAAGATATAAGAAATGCATAGTTATTATAAATTCTATTTGTATCAAAAAAAAAAGTTAAATAACTAATTTAAATTCTCAATATGAGATTTTTGAAAATTACTGAAGACTAACGTTGAACAATATCTGAGAAATAGTTAATATTCATATAAAGACATGTTTTTGTCAGAACTTTTGAGAAAAATATGTATGTTGAAAAATATTATTTGACATGCCTGAACCGTCAATTACAAACGAGTGATGTATGTACTGATACAGAATATTTTCAATTGTTTACATTTTTTACAGAAACAGTTAGGACACTCAATTAATGAAACATCGATAGGCGTCTTTTCGATACAAATTTGTGCCTTCTTCTTATAGTTTTTTTTGTGTCGTGACGAAACCATATAAGTAGAAGCAAAATGATTGAGAGATGCATCTACTTCCTTTACATATATATCACTTGAAACTGTTATTCTTCGTCCTTTGTTCTTTCTCTACTGCATTCAGTAACAAAGACGACTGTTGACCAATAAGAATAAGGCAAGTGAAAAGAATTATATATATAGGTGTCGCTGGTTATAGGAAATAAGATCATATATACATATTATGGTCAAAAATTAAAATTCAGTAGTATGTAGTATTTGCCTAGTCAGAAAATCAGGCAAATTTGAAATTAACCTAGAAAGTTCAGCCAAATTATAAATTGAATTGAATTTTAATTTGACTCATGTATACATATATGTATATGTAATATTATTTGATGAAAATACGATATTTTCTATATGAAACTTTTTTTACAATCAACGTATATATTTCTGTTCTTGTTTCATTAATTATTAAATCACAAAGAATATTAGATATTTCTTTTCGAATTGAAATCTTCGGCGCAATATTATTCATTTTTTTAAATGAAGTTTTCATAGAATGTTTGTCATCAGTTGAAATATGCACTTTTAGAACTTTAGCTATAATAACCCTTGATTCAAGGTAATTGCCGCATTCTTTGTAATGTCACAAAGCTTATTCATAGATATGTTTCTTTCTATCATTTTCCAGGGTAGATATAAGATTGGACATATACAAATATGTTATCGCACTCTCTCTCTCTCTTTTGTTGTAATTCGTCGAGGTATACGTATGACCATGTTTTAGTCTTTTTTTTCTTCCTATAAATAGCGATACATTTGTGAACATGACATAACTTTCTTTCTACCATCATTTAATACACATACGCATATCATCGTTTTTTTTTGTTTGGAAATCCACTGCTGTCTACTATTAATTTTATGGCTCCTAAACGAAAGACTATGTGCAAAGATAATGTTTCACGACCAGTTACGAAATGTCGAGTTAGTAAACGAACTATCAGTGTCAACACAAACGATGTCATGGCATCAACAAAAGTAAATCAAATGAAGAAGGTGGTTAAAATAAAATCTGTTGCGAAGAAAAATAATGGAACAACCAAAGAAAATAGTAAGACATCACTTCTTATTTTATTTTTTATACGAATTATTATTTGAAACGTTTTTGCAGCTTCAGTCGATCAAAGTGTTAAATCAATGAGTGTTGATTCAGTTAATAATATTGATTCTGTTGAAGTGGATACTGTTTCAATCAATGAATCTTCTATTTGTTCAAGTTCTGGTCTTCAATTAAAACCTTCAACACGTCTTTCAATCAATAGTAACGAAGATGAAAATGATGAGTTTTGTAAAATGTTCATGTCTAATACAGCCAAGTTCAAGAACAATACGAATTACAGTTCAACACCTTTGCGTATTTCAAGAAATATTGATAGGTATGCATTTCTTATCAATCAATTTATATTCTGTAATTCAAATAATTTAGAAATGTTCACGCGACTATTCATTCACATTCTCCATATAGTTTGAAAGATGCTGCACATAGTCAATTATCGCATTCGGCAATTGATTATTGTTCAAAAATACCAGACCAAAATATGAAAAGCATACAAACTCCTACAAATCGTAATGTAGTTGGTGCTTTACGACAAAGTGAAACATCATCTTCAATCCGGTCTTCATCCAGTGTTCAAACGAAATCGAATAGTATGGTAATATTAGAAACATTTCCAGAATATCGTGAATTGAGATGAAATTTTGAACGTGTATCAAAAGAAAATGAAGCTTGGGCAGAAGATTATAGAACATTAACGCTAAAAATGAAAGAACTTCAACAAACTTCATTTCGTATGTAGCAATATCTTGCATTTCATAATTCGGTTTCATTTGCTTTTTCTTTAGCTCGACCAAGTGTTGATGGACGTTTATTTCTTGAGCAATTGTTACAATCATTAAAGAACAGTGAAACAGATGAAGACAGGCGAACAAATGCTGAATTAGCTGTTGCTTTTGGTTTATCAGAAGCGACATTAATGTCATTATCAAATATTGATCCACAAAAGACATCACTACGTGTATTTAATGCTTTATTTCCTACCAATAAAGCTAAAGAATATTTAAAAAATGTGACTCATGTTATAACAGAATATCCAAATTTATTAAACGATATTTATGGTAAGTTATGTTGTACAGGTTTCTTTTTTTTTAAAAGAGAAAAAAAAATGATAAATTGCAGCTTTTATTTGATTAATGATGGAATTTTGTTATAGTTTTTGCACGACGTTGCTCTCCAGACTGTGTCTATACAATGGCAATGTTAAAGGATGCAATCGGAAACTCGATTCGTTGTGCTCGGCACAACGTGAAAAAAGCCAACACGCAACATATAGCAGCAGCAGCAGTTTTACAACTACAAATGAATCATGGTAATAATGATATTAATAACATCTGATAAACGAATGTTGTTTTGGATGAAGTAAGTTTAGAAAATTCAAAATTACTTTTTCTCCACCTATATTTTTTAGGGTTCAACGAAAGTTCATCATATATGATGAAAGAAAAACAAGTTCAGAAACTGCATGTGTAAATATTAGTAACCTAACACTTCTTCAAATTTTGCTTTTTTCTGTATTTAACATCTCTTCGTTTAATACTACTTGTTTTTCATTTTACATAGTCAGTATTTGTATTTCGAATGTACATTAAAGATATTTATAAGTTCGTTTTTTTTCATTCAAAAATCTCTTACTTTCATATTTTTATTTTAATT